AATACCTTATGACCCAGCCATCCCACTACTGGGTATCTATCCTAAGAACCTGAAATCAGCAATTCCAAAAGTCCCATGCACCCCTATGTTCATCGCAGCATTATTTACAATAGCCAAAACATGGAATCAACCTAAATGCCCAGAAACTGATGATGATTGGATAAAGAAGATATGGTATATATACACAATGGAATACTACTCAGCCATAAAAAAGGACAAAATTGTTCCATTTGCATCAACATGGATGGACCTCAAGGGTATTATGTTAAGCGAAATAAGCCAGACAGAGAAAGACGAACTCTATATGACTCTATTCATAGGTGGAAGTTAACATATAGACAAGGAGAACTGATCAGTGGTTACCAGGGAAAAGGGGTGGGGGGTGGGGGGGTGGGCACAAAGGGGGAATTGGTGTACCTACAACATGACTAACAATAATGTACAACTGAAATCTCACAAGGTTGTAATCTATCATAATCTTAATAAAAAAAAAGTCCATGCTATCAAAGCAATATATATACTCAATGCAATCTCTATCAAAATTCCAACGGCATTTTCACAGAAATAGAACAAACAATCCTAAAATTTGTATACAACAACAAAAGACCCTGAATAACCAAAGCAATCTTGAGAAAGAACAAAAAAGCTGGAGGTAGTGCACTCCCTGATTTCAAAGTATATTTCAAAGCTAGAGGTAATCAAAACAGTATGGTACTGGCACAGATCAATGGAGCAGAATAGTGAGCCCATAAATACGCTCATGCATATATGGTCAATTAATTTATGACAAAGGAGCCAGAAATATACGATGGGCAAAAGATGGTCTCTTTAATAAACGGTGTTAGGAAAACTAGACAGACATATGTGAAAGAATGAAACTGGACCCCTACCTTATATCAGACACAAAAATTAACTCAAAAGGGATTAAAGACTTGGATGTAAGACCTGAAACCATAAAACTTGTAGAAGAAAACATAGGTGGTAAGCTTCTTGACATCAGTTGTAGCAGTGATTTTATGGATTTGACACCAAAAGCAAAGGCAACAAAAGAAAAAATAAACAAATGGGACTACATCAAACCAAAAAGCTCCTGCACAGCAAAGGAAACCACCAACAAAATGAGAAGGCAACCAACTGAATGGGAGACGATTGTTGCCAAACCTATATCTGATAAGGAGTTAATACCCAACATATATAAAGAACTCATATAACTCAATAGCAAAAAACCCCCAAACAATCCAATTAAGAAATGGACAGAGGATCTGAATAGACATTTTTCCAAAGAAGATGGCCAATAGGCACATGAAAAGATATTCAATATCACTGATTATTGTGGAAATGCAAATCAAAACCCCAATGAGATATCACCACACACCTGTTAAATCGGCTATTATCAAAAAGACAAGGGATAACAAATATTGGTGAGGATATGAAGAAAAGGGAACCCTTTGCACCACTGGTGGGAATGCAAACTAGTGCAGCCACTATGGAAAACAGTATGGAGATTCCTCAAAAAATTACAATATGATCCAGCAATTCCACGGCTGGGTATTTATCTGAAGGAAACAAAATTACTATCTCAAAGAGATATATGCACCCCCATGATCACTGCAGCATTATTTACAATAGCCAAGACATGGAAACAACCTAACTATCCATTGACAGATGAATGGATAAAGAAGGTGTGTATGTACATACAATGGAATACCATTCCGCCACAAAAAAGAAGGAAATCTTGCCATTTGTGATAAAATGTGTGGACCTTGAGGGCGTTATGCTAAGTGAAATAAGTGAGACAGAGAAAGACAAATACTCTATGATCTCACTTATAGGTGGGATCTAAAAAAACCAAACTCATAGAAACAAAGAACTGAATGGTGGTGGCCAGAGGTGGGGTTGAGGGGTAGGGGAAATGGATGAAGGGAGTCAAAAGGTGAAAACTTCCAAAAGATAAATAAGTCTTGGGGATGTAACGTACTGCATGGTGACTATAGTTAACAACACTGTATTGTATAGTTGAAAGGTGCTAAGAGAGTAGATCTTAAAAGTTCTCATCATAAGAAAAAAAATTTGTAATTATGTGAGGTGATGGTTGTTAACTGAACTTACTGTGGTGATCATTTTGCAATATATACATATATCAAATCATTGTGCTGTACGCCTTAAACTAACACAATGTTATATGTCAACTACATCTTAATAAAATTAGGGAAAAAAGGTTTTCAAAATAGCACCCCATCCTATTTTGTGTAGGTCTGGAAGATTCTGCGTGATTATCTCTGGGTGATAATATTATGAGCAATTTTCAATTTTTCCTTTTGTATCATGTCTTCTACATGTCTAATAAACGTGTGTGTTTTAAACTATCAAA